AGTTGCTGCGGACACACACACACACACACACACACAAACACACACACAGACAACCCCATAACAATACGCGTTTTGTACTGCTGTTACACAGCACAAAACGCATAAAAAGTGAAGCTCTAGAAGTTTTTATGAAGATAACTTGAAATGAATGGAATGAAATAGCTGGCCGGCCTGGGCCAATTGCATCTAGTACTTATCTCCGGCTAGAGGTTTTCTTCTGGATCTTATCACTGTAAAAAAACAGTTCATTGCGATTATTGATTCGTTTAAGCGGAAGTTTATTGCGGCATTCTCAACGGATGTAACCTTCGGAGGAAGAGCCTTCTCAGCGATTTGGCAGCGTCGCCGTTTGGCAGCTTCTGCTTGACTCGTTCGTTCATAAACTGAGTAGTCGAATCGTTGGAGGGCGAATTAAGCGTGGGCATGGACCCTGAGCATTGCCAAGGCTGTAAAAGTTAAAAAAAAAAAAAATAAACGGGTGCAGAAGACTAACGAGAACAGTGAGCTACGAGAGAAACAGTTTCACGAAAGCCGAAAGTAAAGATCTGCTGACTGACATGTGGGATTTGAGTTCTTGCTTTTTATTTTGATTATCATATTTAGTCAAAAAATCATTATTTCAGGAAGAATCAGAGAATCAACGATTAAGTCCTGCGTCCGGTTGCTCATTGAATCGAGATCGTTGGAGTAATGGGACGATTCGTGTGCCAAATAGTTGGCATGATTTCACCATTCCATTTAGTCAAATCGAATTCAAAAAGCAAAGTTTGATTGGAAGGGGACGATTTGGCGAGGTGCATTTTCTGAATAAGTTTTTTTTTTTTGGTTGTTTCATCATTGCACTCGTTTTCCCGTTCGTTTAGCAGCTTCTTTCGTTACGCCCGTTTTTCCTTGCTGTGAGTGTTTCTCGTCCAAACAGTTCTACAGGGGTCTTGAATATCATCATCTGAATGTTGGGTGCTTACATTGCACTGAAGCTTGATAGGGTGTAATTCCACACTATTCCGTCTTGTCTATCTTTCCCTCATTCTTCCACTTCATTAAAATCATGAGTTTTTAAGTCTGTAATAGCGATTTCTCCACATCATCTTTATATACTTATTCATT